TGGTGCTTGATTGTTGGTCTCTCCATCTGGCTCCATCATTTATTGACTGAAGGCTCTATGATGAGAGGTAGGGTATCCACCGATCTGTTTGCAGGGGAAGGCCATGCTGTCCACTATTGCTAGGAGTCTTAGCTGGGGGTCATCCTTGTGGATTTGTGGGAATTTCCCTACCAGGTTTCTCCCTAACCCCATAGTGGCTCTCTCTACCAAGACTTCTCTTTCATTGTTTTTCCTCTCCATCCTTGCCCCCCACCATCTGTGCTCACCCCCATCCTCCTCTCCAGCCCACCACATAGTCATTTCTACTAATTCATTACTGTATAAGTCAAATTATTGTTGCTGTGACAAACACTTGAAAGAAAAGGAGATAGAGAACAAGGGGAGATTTATTATAACTTACAGTTTGAGCCTGCTGTCTCCTGGTCCTGTGATGCCAGAAGCTTATGGCTGAGGAAATTACCTCATGATGGCCAGGAAGCAAAAGAATAGGCAATCAAAGCCACTTAACACCTTTAAGAATGAATACTTTCCTTTTCTTTACATTCTGTTCCTTCACATTTCCACTTTTCAAATAAGCCCAGTAGCTGACAACCAAGAAATCAGCACTTGAACCTCTGGAGACATTTTATAATCAAATTATTACATTCTGTCCCTGTTCCCCAAAAGCTCACGGCTGCCTCATAATGTGAAATGCAGTTACTCTATCCACAAAAGTCTCCAAAGTCAATAGTTCTAAGATTGCTCAAAAGTCCAAGTTTAATGGCTCTGAAGCTAAAGGCAAACTCTTTGCATGACCGAATGCTGAAGTTAAAAAATGTACTGCTTTCTGCATGCAGTTGCACAAGTGAGAGCACAGAAAATAGGGATAGCACCCGAACAAATCTGAAACCCAGCATGGCAAGCATCAAGTCCCGTAGCTCCCATATCCATCATCTTGAGCACCTGTATGGTGAGGTAAGCTCAAAAGTAACCTTGACCCTACAACCTTGCTCCTTGCCATCACCACATTTTTGTTTTTGTGTTTTTGTTTTGTTTTGAAATTAGTTGTACTCATTGTCTGGAAGCTTTCTTCTGTAGATGTTTCATGGTCCTAGAATAGCATACTCTCGGGGTCCCCATTCCATCTTCTCCATCCCCTCGAGCTACACATAATTTGTCCCCTCGAGCTACCTGTAGTGATTCTGACCCTGCTACACATTTGTCTGACTTCCCAGGTCTGGTTGAAATTTGGTTAGAATCCTCCATGACTTTGGAACTCTTGCATTTAGTATGACTGCAAAGCTAGCCTCATGTGGGAGCATCAAGGTCTGATACCATCCTGGGTCTCTTGTACTCTGGCTATAGTAGCTTCAGAATGCCCAGAGGACTGAATAAAAGCCAAACTTCTTTCCTAGGAAGTCCTGTGCAGCAAGGGCACTGGAGTTGTCTCCTCAGACCTTTCAAGGAGTTGAAGCATTCTTATTCTTGAGCCTTAGAATGGGTAGGGTCCGGCCAATTCTTTAGATGAGCTCACGCATCCTATTTTCCGAATGAAAATGCATAGCCTCTTTTGTTTTGGTGTTTCAATTCTGTTGTTGTCATTATTGTTGTTGTTTGGTGCTGCTGGTGGTGGTGATGGTGGTGATATGGGTGTGTATGTATGTGTGTGGGTTTGTGTTGGTTCATATGTATGGTATATACACACGTGTGTTTTCAAGTGTGAGTGCCTCTTATTCCCACAGAGGCTGGAGAATGCCACTGGGTGCCCTGCTCTATCATTCTCTTGCCTTATTTCTTAGAAACAGTTTCTCATTGAGTGTGCAGCTAGCCTGGCAGCAGCAAACCCAGTAATCCTCGGGTCTCCAGTCCTGACAGCACTGGAGTGACAGGCAGGTGTGCAGCCATGCCTGCCTTTCTGTGTGCATGTTGGTATTTGATCGTGTGTGGGAGAGTGTGTTTGAACAATCTTCCTCATAGTGAACAGGAAAGAAAGATTGCCTGTGTTAGTGGAAGCTTTCTCAGTTCTCTTTTATTCTGTCTGGACTCTCAAACTATAGAATGCCTGTACATTTCAGGTTTGTCTCTTCCTTGGCTATTCCTCTGTTAACAGCCTCACAGAAACCCTAGAGGGGCACTTGACTATCCCAGGTGCTTCTCAGTACAGTCAGTTAATAGTCAAGGATTTCCATTACAGCGACCATTCAGTTTTCTATCCTGGAAACAAATAAACCAGTGTAGCTTTTGACAAGTGTTCCAGGCTTCTAATGGTTCCTTTTCCTAATCAAGGGAAAACCCATTTAAGTGTTCAATGGAGTCATGTATTTTGAGAATTCCATGTTTGATGAAGAAGGCAAGTCACACCTGTATGTGCATAAATCCCCCAACCCTAATCTTCCAGGTACCCCAATCCAAATACACTATTTTATAAAACTTCTCTTTGCGCGCCAATTGAGTCAATCACAATAAAACTAACGGGGGTGGCAGACTATCTATGCCCGTGTCTTCTGTTGGAGACTAGTTTCTCTGATTGGGATCCTTGTAAACCAGTCTTAACTGCTTGCTCAGATAGGTTTGGTTCTCTAACTGTGCCCTGCCCTTTTTTTTTTTAATGTCACAATATAAAGAAAATGTTCAGTTTCCCTGTCATGATGTGTTAGAAATTGGGAATATGAATGTAGCTTTCCATGTTCGTCGAGCTTAATGTTTCTGTTCAGTTCATTAACATTTGAAAGGTATGACTAGCCCACGACTAACAAAACCCAGTGTTCTAATCACAACCCACTTCCTGCCTTGATCTGAAACTGTCTTTCAAACAGTCATAGATTGTCTCTCAAGATATTAATGACTTTTCTCAGTTTCACTCATAGGAGTTTGTGTGTGTGTGTGTGTGTTGGTGCGTGTGTGTTGTTGTGTGTGTTTGTGTTTGCGTGTGTGTGTGCTGCCTTCATTTCCCTTTCTCTACTATGAGCACACCCTGTGCTGTTTTGCTCCCTAATTTACTTCAGCTCTTGCTTCCTCCAATATTTCCCCTCAAGCTTTTCACAAGGGAATATATATCTTTTAATATAAATTTTAAATTCAGGGAAAATTAAACAATGAAAAAAAATTGTACAGGTTTATAACTTCTTAAATAAGTCTGTCTGAATACAGGGTTCACAGCTTTGATCATGTTCTCAGAAGTTGTATTCTGAAGGACCAGTACCACCTCGACAGCCCGTCTATCTGTCCTGGTGGATGTGTTTGGACCTATGTTTCCACTGGCCATCTCGCCTCCTTTCCAACAGAGTTCCTTGCTAACTGGCTTGAGGGGACCTTATATAGCTGTGTAGAAGGGCTGGGAGCAATCTTCAACCTGCACAGAAAATCAGACAAAACCAGAAAATAGTCAGAGAGGAATGACTCATTTCCTGACAACCTGACCCTGTAGGGCATCCGCTGGAAATCAGGTGCCACCATTGGTAGCCATGTCAGTAATGCTGGCTGATCTGCCTAAAACTGCCGCCTCACAAACCCCTTGAAAGGATTTGTTCCTAAGTGTGATTCAGCTGTTAGAATTCTGGTAATTTTTACCTTTCAATTAATCCTATAAAATTTAAAATTATGGCGCATTTTGCATTTGTTTATTAAAATGCAGTTTAAGCTCAAAATTTCTACTCTCAGACTTTAAAGAAATTGTGTGCATTTTGGCAAAGTACAATTTTGAGCAAATTCTTCTGAGAAATTCTTGTTACATGAATGTTTTCAGCTATCTTATGCTGTCTTTCCCTTTGAAAACAAGAAAACTTACTGATCCCTTTTATGAGATATGATACTAAACTGCTTTAGTTAAGCATTTTAGCAAAAAAATATTTACTCCTTACATTTACATTGTGTATTCGTAAATGTAATCATTTTTTAACATACACAGGATCACTTTTTTTATTTTCTAGTTTAATATTAACTCTGTTAGCATCTCAGCTGGTGGAGAAAATGGAAAAAAGCCACTTTGCCTAGTTTTATGTTCTCAAAAACAGCTAACTATAGAATAAATTGTTGCACTTTTTATGAATTGATAACTGCTTATACTGAATTGTTGATGCATTCATAGTGTTATAAATAATGAAATTCATCTTCTCAAATTACATAATGATATTTTTAATTAGCTAGCGTTAGCATCACTCGGTTTCCAAATGCATGCTATTTAGGCCCTGTTCAGTAGGATGTGCAGTAGCTGCCAGCACGGCAGGACAGTTCTCTTACATGCAAGGTCATCAGAGTGCCTCAGGTTTGTTCCTGGATGCTGTTGCTTAAGAAGACTTTTATGATTGCCCTTGGTGTGCTGGGATTACATCGAATGTAACTGATTCTGTTCTTGGCCTTTTTTTATTTGCTCTGAATTATTTTCTCTTTTACTCTTTATTCTGCTGTTAATTCTAATATTTCTGCTTCATCATCATGTCCTAAAATATAATGTAGAGACCATCGTTACATCCGGATGCTCCCCTGACTGACCTTTCCCTTCCAAATTTTAATGCAAGAGTGGAAGAGGGGTGTGTAGATTTACTAGCTTTTAGGTGTAATGAAGGGTTTTGTAACCTGCATTAAAATACTAATGCGTATTAAACTCAGATTCTGTTTTGTGATTTTTATTTTGTGACAGAATGGAACAAGTATTAAATATGTATTAGGACTGAGGCTATTTAAAGAGGGACCAATATCCCACATCTTGAACTATGCAAGTAAAAATAAATTTTTATAACTAGAACAATCTACCGGGGTTCTTGATCCTTGGATCTCCAAACTGAATATAAATTACAAAGTGTTCAGAAAGGTTTACTATTATAATTGAGCTTATTATTAATGTGCATATTATATTTCATTCTCTAGGGATGGGAAAGCTGGGGAAAACACATTTAGTGATAGCTATTCATTAGCCGTCATTGAAGAATGAATTAGACTTTAAGAATCGATCAAAAATTCTCTGGTCAGCCTTTTATTACTATCTTGTCTTGAGCCCTTTTCTTAATGACATCTATTATCAGATTGAAATGGCGATTGAGACGCTGCAAAAGTCTGACGGTCTGTCCACTCACAGAAGCTCTCTTCTCAACAGCCATGTAAGTTGCCTCTTTGTGTACACTAATCTCTTGCTTGTTCCGCATGTGTTGCTTGCCTCTAAGTGCTTGTTTTATTTATTTACTTATTTATTTTGCTTCTTAACCTTCCTTTCTCAAGCTTCTTCAGACTCTAACCATTTACTGCCCATTTTACACAGTGGGATATCCCAAAGCAGAACCACAGTTTACTGCTTTACTGGGTGTTTGTATTTTTGTTTATATAAACAAAATTGAAAATTGACAAGAAGCCACCATGTATTTCTAAAATGTAATTATAGTGGTTTTAGAAATTTAAAGATTTTCAGCTACGTATTTATTTCCTCTGAAGTAAAATTTCGTAATACACATCTTTATGTCTGAGACATAGAAGCAACCGTATCCACCGTATAATTGGTATGAGTCTTTAAGTGAAGACATAGTCACTAATACCAAAAGCACTGAGAAACTATTTAAAATGTATTTTCTGGTAAGACTGTAAGGTAGGCAGGTCACAGTCATGGATGAACTCAAGTCCTAAACAATGAAGAGAAGTGAGAATGGGCCAAAAGTGAAGTTGTGTGTAAGCTGTAAGTTGCTAGTACCTGAGGCAAGCAGAGTGGCCTCATTACTTCTTGGAGCTGTCACTGTCACCAGGTACAGCATCACCCTAACACTGGTAAGTGGTGTGAAATAAACCTTCTCATTGATGTTCAGAGTTGAGCAAATGAAAATGTTTGTTACAGTTATTTTTAGAAGGTGATTTCTGAATGTATGGGGATGTCCGTAGATCCATGACTTAAGCCTGTTGTAGGTAGATGTGCTAAATTAGTATTAATGACATTTTGGTAAGAATTAGAAATTTCCTTTAAAACTGTTTTTTTTTTAATTTAGGGATAATTTATTGTTATTTCTTAATTTTTTGTAATATTTTTATATCTAAAAGATTTAAAATTAAGATCACTGAAATATTTTCATTAAATTTCATTAATTTTCAAAAAGGCTATAGTATTTTTAATAATCATATAGTTTATAGAAAATGTCTCGCTGATTTTTTTAAAAATATATTTATACTTTGAGCTATTTAAGATTTGTATTCTGGAGTACAGTTCTTTTTGATGTTCTAATGTTTGGTTTTGGAGGAGGTGTTTTGATTTGTTTTTTCAAGAGAGGTTTCTTGGCAAACACAAGCATGTTAGCCAATTTGCAGAAGACCTATAATTTTGGTGAAAATTATAGATAAAAACTTTAAAATAAGGATATATATTTTGTCACCTCTTTTTAAAAACAATTTGAACACAATTTTCCACTCTTCATCTTAAGTAGATCCTGCTTACTGGAATGAGTCTGTGGGTGGGCTAAAGGCTAGTGTACCATATGCTATTAGGATGCGTCTGCCAGTTAGGATATTGAAAATAGCACGTGAAAATGCTTATCACTTCCAACCAGACGTGTGCAGGCATATAAGTATTTTTAACAATAAATAGAATTTTGTAGTTGCTCGTTTGAAATTTTCAGGTTTCTAGATTGGCTCTGAAAGTCAATTGTTATTTCACTGTTGTGATATGAAATATATAGCATGTTGTTTGAATTTAACTTCAACCACCCAACTTTATTGATTTTTTTTCCTGAACAATAATGTATGTTTAAGAATTTTTAATATTTCTGTTTGTTCGAAACTTTTGAGATATTTTGTGATGTTTAAAAAATAATTTTCTTCAGTTAGAACTTGTGAATTAAAATTCATTGTCAGTAACTGAATGAATGACCCTGCTCAAACAACACAATTACATAGTCTTCCCTGGTTTTCTGTTTTCATTGTGTACTTAGAAAATCTATGTGGTTGAACCTACTAGCTGGGTTTCATTATGTAGGAAGAGTGGACACAAATGTTGCTTGTGTGGTGACAATCTTTGTCTCCTGGCTTCTTTCATTCTTATTACATCTATGAAATGGTCAGCCTTATTCAAAACTGCATGGATAGTTCAGTCTTTAGGAATAGGAATAATTCTAGAGATGGCTTGTGAACAGAAGCAAGCAGGGTCAGTTCTACGGATGCCTGCTTCTTAAACGCAGGAAATATTTGCATTGTCTTTCCCTTAGGAAGGTCATGATGCTCCTGACTTTCATTGGATTTTCACCAACAGCTGAAGTAAATGAACAAACAAATACAAAATAATGTATAATAAAGTAAAATATAGAAATAAAAATAATAAGGAATAAATAAAATACTACTTAGTACATATCTTCTGTTGCCCACATTTTAAATACTACTGAACTGTTACCATTACCCGTCATGAGAATATAATAAAGAATTATTTGAGATTTTTATAGGATTCTTTGTGGTTGAGGAGTTCACCTTTATGATGATTAGTTCTTTGAATTGTCAGTTTCTGAAAAGATAAGTCTCATTAGGAAGGAATTAGGAAACATTATCTAGTGTGCATCCATATTCAAACTTCTAAAAATGGATGTTAATAGTAACCTTTGAACATAAATATTACTTTACTTGGTGATACAGTATGGAAGTTATTTCTGATTTCTCCATATGCATTTAAATATTAACAGTAATTCAGAAAATATTATTACATACAAATTAAGTAAATAACCCCTTTCTAGTAGAATCAAGCTTGTCTCCGTTTCCCCTTCGTTTCATACATTTGATGATGAAGCAACATTTTGTTTTATATCCATTCTCTGAGTATATCTTTTTTAAAAGAGTTGCTTATGTTTACTGTTTGCCTGAATGTTTATTTGTGTGCTACATGTATTCCTGGTGCCCAGAGAGGCAAGAGGAGGACACTGTATCCCCTGAAACTGAAGACAGTTCTGATCTTCCATGTGGGTACTGGTAACTGAACCCTGGTCCTCTAGGAGAGCAGCCAGCACTCTTAACCACAGTATGTTCCCAGCCCCTTCCAGTGTATTTTAAAGGCTATTTTCTGCTACCAAGCCTTATTAGTTAATTTCTATATGCTATTATCATCCAAATTAAAATGCAAGTGAAATTTCTATGTTTGGTACACAATACTATGTTCCAGCTATGGCTAAATTAGTTACGCTGCGTGCAGTGCTTTAGTCTTGATAACCTGGTGGCATTATGTCAGCAATAGTACCATAGACAGTCAATAAATATTTATTGCCTAGTAAAAGATGTAAAGGAATAAGGACTTTTATGGTTTGTCTTCTGACACAGCCCTAGTGCCTAGAACAGTGCTGGTACATAGTAGTGGATGCATACTAAATATTTGCTGAGCAGATGAATATCAGAAACAATAGAATGGGACAGACCCTATCTTTAGTGTTTTAGGGTTCCTTTCACAGTAACATAAATGTCTATTTGAAACTCATACATAGACTGTATTGATTTCTCTTTTTGTCCCCAAATATTCAATCAGTGTGTATGTATTAGTACAGGGTTCTCTCTTATGTCATTCTAACTGAATGAAGAATATGTGGGTCACTTTATAATTTCCTACATTCATCTTTAAGATTAAGAGTAGCTTTCTTTTCTTCCTAATTCTTTAAAAAGTTGTACCCCAGAGTGATATGATTCATCTTTTTGTATTTTATAATGTGTTTTGATTTTAGTTTTATATTATTTTATATAATACTTTTATGTGTGTATTTTATTTTTAATTTATATATATCAAGATGCTCTTAATAATCTTATAGATATGCCTAAGTCCAACAATTATCTAGTTCTTTTAGTTACTGACTCCCGCTTGCTTTGAACTCTCAACTGTAATTAACATACATTTTCATTTAGTATTTGTATTATATCCAATTTAGGATATTTTGGATTGTAAATTTCCACATAGAGTTATTGTTAATTGTTGCTTTTCTGTAGTGCACTTTTAATTCCACTTAAAGTATATGAAAACCTCTAGGCATTTATGTTTTCAGAATTTTCACAATATAGCAGACAATTGATTCATAATTCTTACAAGATTAAGCTTCTGAAATATATTCATCTTAAAATAAAATCTTGGTTATTAGTCATTCACCCAACACTGGCTTGATGCTATTCTAAATAAAAGTTACTATAGACCTGTCAAATGCATAGCTTAGGTTCACTGAACTTAAAGTGATTCCTAATTGATAATAACCCATCTGTAAAAGGCCAAATATTACATTTGGATGTTAATAGGGCAGCACATTATTTGTTTTTATTTGTCGATTAATGTTTCCCTTTAGGAAAAATAGGATCTGTTCATCCTTTATAATCTGATCTGATTAATACAGATTACACACAAAGGTGGAAAGATGCAGTTATCTTGCTTTCTACCCTTAGATGAGTATTGTTAGCTCATTATTAGAATAATTTGGTTCTAAAGATAAAGGTCAAAGTTTCTATGATATTTCAGAAGCTGCAAAATTTGTAAATATAGTCACTTTATATAAGATACTTTATTAAAAGAATAAAATAAGAAACATATAGTTGCTTTCTAAACTACTAAATGTTAAGGCTGTTGAATTCTAATGTTCAACTACATTCTGTTAATAGCAAGAAATAATGTACCTTATAAGAGATACCCATTTCCTTTGGGTAGGTAGTGCATGTAGGACAAAGTATAATCTTTTACATTACAGTACAGAAATGTAACTTCTAAGTTCCTATAATACTTTAAAAAATGCTATCTAATCCTATGGTTTAGATGTAATTTTTTTGTTTCATCATGAGTCAAATTCAGAAAATTAAATATTAGTATGTAGTATGTTGATTGAATATACCAGCTGTATCCCCAAGTCTTTTCTGGCATATTCTAGATGGTGTATTGTTTATATTAAGTTTCTTGGATAATAACCATAGGTGATGTGGTTTTTGACCAGCTTCCCAATGGGACCCCATGTCAGCAGACCACGCCCCTCTATTTTCAGGGTTTTTGTCTCTGTTGACCTCTTCTTTCCTCCCACATGCTCTCCTTGCTTCTGTGAGGAATAAAGTTTCTCCTTTTGATACGATGGAGGTAGAAACAAATTTAGCCAAGTCCTAGTCACTAAAACAGCTGACCTCTGGAACTTATAAACTAACCACAGCTGGATGTTGTGAAGTATGCATGTGTGTACCTATTTCTGTATTCACACTGGTCAAATTCATATTTTCAAAATTAGTTTAAAAATTAAACATTTGGCGGGAATATAGGCAGTATAAGAAGAAAACAAATTTTAAAAACCAGCCAAAGTTTTTACTTGTATGTAAAAGGAATGAGTAGCTATTCTGAAGAAAAGCCCCATTTTCTCTGACTTCTCTCCAGCTGTGGCAGGGGTGACATCATTGAGGATTCTAAGTAGCTTATGCCACCTTTTGCTATAATTAAAGAGAACGTTTTTGTCATAAAGAAAGATTTATTTTTACTATATTTAAAAGCTGTTATTATAATTGACCTGATTAGCTCTCACACACAATCACTGTTGAACTTGAAACATTTTATGTTGACCTTTGCTTCTTATGCTAGTTTCCACATTTATTAGACACGCCTTTTGAAATATTTTTATGAAATATTTAGATTTTTTCAAAATCTTTCATAAAATGTTTTATCTCTAAAAAACTATCCTTGATGGTGAGAAATGAATAAGCTAATATACCTGGTTATTCTTCACTTCTAATTAGTTAAATGTTATAATTATATGAGTGTACAACTATGGTAGAATTTAAATTTTTATTTGTGTTGACTTATTGATTTGGATTGATCTGCTTTTATATGCATACTAAGATTATAAAGTTCACATTTTAAAGTTGTCTGCTTCATTTCTGGGGAAAATATCCTTTAAAATTTTCTGTGTGAATTTGTCACCTGCTCATTAACAAAGAAAGAACATTGATTCATTTTACTCCTTATTCTTTCTCATTTTATTATGCCTTTTATAGGGGTACACACACACACCTTCACTACTTTTAAATATTTTTTATGATGTATGCTTGTAGATATGAGAAAAATATTACATCATGAGCAACTGCTGAAAATATTTCACCTCATACAAATCCTAATCGCTATTTTTTTAGTATTTCCTTGTTAACCCTTGCTATCAAGGGTCTGTGTTCCTATTTTTAACATATTAAAAACACCCATAGAAGGCAGTTGTGTCTTGCTCTAACTAGCACCTGTATGAAAGACTGTAGCTCACTTTTATGCGATATGGTTCACAATGGCTCCTTGAATTCCACTTGAAGTGCTTTCAGATCCTGGTCATTTTACAGAGTTTCATGGATGAAATAAGAGTCAGGTTTGTATTGCTGTGTTTTGTCTTTCTTACTTGTGTTTTATATTTTAAAATTCTTGAAATTAAAAAAAAATTCTCAAAAGAAGCATGCCAGCCCACTGTAGAGTACTGGTTTTGATGTCAGTGACTTAATGTATGTGTGAGTTTATCTCAGATGTTTTATACTAAACAGATGTTTATCAAGGATATATTTTGTGTATTATTTTCAATACATAACACTCATATTTGGGTGTCTCTAGAAAACATTTTACTGATATGAAGTTTAAAAATAAATGCTGTGAAAAAATCCTTTATGACCTGCAATACTTTTCTGTCACTATAAAAAGGAGAGCTAATGTGTGTAATCTTTTTAGTGCTCTATAGTGTTGAATTATTTGTGGCACAGCATCAATATGTGTTTTGTGTGCTCACATAGATATATGTTCCTTAGGGAACTAGAAGACTTCCTGGACAGGACATAATTTTATGTTTAAAAGTATCTTATATGCCTTGTGGTATATTTTCAAAGCCATTAATTCTTACAAGTGTGGTGATATGTTTAACTGTTTAATGATTGTTTAGGCATGTTTGAAATTGAAATGCTCTGGGAAATTCAGCTGTTATAGTTTTAAAATAATCAAAATATTTTGATATTTTAAATAAAACCCTAAAAGTTCTGCTTCTAAGTTTTAGGAAACATCTTAAATGAGACACATAAACTTTATAGATAGGGTAGAATAATTCTTTGTCTTACTTGAATGTCCAGACCATCATCATTTTAGCCTTTGAGTCAATATCCAGAGGACAGGTGGAACCGCATTCATTTTTGAATTATTTTACTTCCATAATTCACACTTAATTACAATTTTTTCTTCAATGTTTGTTCTTTACCATTCCATTTATACATGCCATGGAGATGGTTAAGATAAATAATATAAAACATTTGCTGCTTTGATTGCCTATTGGTCTAGAGTATAGAAAGCAAGAATTAGAAACCACACTCAAGCGCTGAGACACTATATAACCCTGGGAAAACAGTTTACATTTCTTTCACTTCTTTTATAAGTAAGTAAACGAGTAAGTTGGAACTTAGTAACAAAAATATATACATATATGGCAGGTGTTTTTCTCGTACGTTCTAAATTTAAATATTTTTAATAAACAAAGTACAATATAAAACTTTGAAATGTAGACTATAGGTGGAAAAAAAACATTATTTACTGCTTATCATGGTCGCGTGCTTTCCAAAATTTTGAGGAAAAAAGACACCTCAAGTTTGAGGTAACAAATTGAGATGATTGTAAAAATTATTGCCTTTTTTATGTAGAAATTATTTGTCCCAGTAGATAATAATGTTATTGTATTATGTCGTGATAATTTGAGATAAGTAAATTTATTTTCTGTGAAAATGAATACAATCTAATATAAAACTTCATATGAGTAAGGTTACTGTTTACTTATGGTAACAGACCAACATGCTAGTTGGTAGGTACCGTGTTGCCAGGTTTAGAATGTATTAGGTACTGTGCTTTATTTTATAACAGTTATAAATGATATGTTTATGTTACTAGTCTTGACCAGTGAATGCTATTATTTGAATTTTTTAAAGAAGTATTTTACTCCAGGATTATAGTCAATATAGGGAAAATTATTATCTTTCCTTATGCTTGGAAATTTGAATATAACATACTCTCTAAACTGATAACTGCTGTGACATTTCCCAGAGCTTAGAAATTCAGATTTACCAACTTCAAGATAATCCCTGTTTATCCTGACAGTTAATGGAAGTACTTCCAAGTATTTGTACATACTGTGTCTTGCCGAAGCTTTGGCAAATGATGTGAATTCTCTGCTTATTCTCTCTTATCTTACCAGCTCCAGTGGCTGTTGGACAACTATGAGACAGCGGAAGGAGTGAGCCTTCCGAGAAGCACTCTGTACAATCACTATCTTCGACACTGTCAGGAACACAAACTGGACCCAGTCAACGCTGCCTCGTTTGGAAAATTAATAAGGTCCATCTTTATGGGGCTACGAACTAGGAGATTAGGAACTAGGTTAGTACTGAAAATCAACACGATTAGTTCGCCCTCCTTTATCAAATTACAGCAGTGTTATACAGTGAGCGGAAATGTACTTGATTATAGAAAGCATAAAGGAGGTAAATATAGCATGAAGTCTATTTGTAAGTTCATAGGAAAAGGAATATTACTATTCAGTGAATATCATCAAACTGGTTTTCAGACTACATAGAAATTAGAAGGCCAACCTGTTTGTGCAAGATTTGTATATGATATTTTTAAAAATTGTTATATACCGCTGCCATTGCTTTTTGAAAATAAACCTATTAAACGTGAATAAAGTGACATAGTAAATGGAAAACTAAGCATTTCCTTACTGCTTTAAAATACATTTAATTATTTTTATGAAAACTTTGACTAGAACAAGTAGTTAAGGTGGAAGTTTTCACTTTATCCTGTAATTCTGGGACAAATTAAAGGTATTTGGTAAACTTACAAAATGTGAATATTTGAAGTCCTTGCTGATGGTTCTGTTCTACCTCTTAATATCCTTCTAAGCCTTCTATACATTGCTCTTGCTCTTGATTGTGAAAATAGTCATCTGTGGGAGTGAAACTGTGTCATATTTCCATTTTAGAGACCAGCGATGTGAAGGAGGAGCTTTCAGTCTCATGGCTTTCTTTCCTTCAGAAACAATGAGCCTTTTTTCTAAGCTTTATGATGAGCAGAAAATTTAGAGCCTTGGAGCTTCATTTTTATTCTCCATGATTTTTACCAATTGAAGACTAATATTTTAAGCAGTTAGGTAGAGATCTATGCACCCGTTGGCTTTCTGACTCATACAAGGATGGTGCACACAACACTAAACTAGCAATGCTGTGCTGTAATGGTGATAGACCTTTAGTTATAGGTCACGGCCTCCAAGACTTACAGTACAAAGGCTGAGAAGCAATGCACTACTAATTACCATCATTACACGTTATGCGGAAGGGAGAAGTGAACGTTTTCAGAGAGAAAAGATTAACCTGCCTGTACTTATCTCCAGACATAGGGCTCAGATCTTCATAGCAGAACACAGTTTAACTAACATGTGCAACACATACTTATGCGCTCCGGCCTCCTTTCTGTTACTGTGATAAACAACTCAGGGAGGAAAAAGCTTAGCTAGCTTACACTTCCAAGTCTCAATCCACCATTGATAGAATTCAGGACCAGGAACTAAAGACGGAAACTTGGAGGTCAGAGCCATGGAAGAATGCTTCTTGCTGGCTAACTCACAGGATCTTGCTTAGACCAAGACCACACCTACCTTTGCATAGTGTCACTTCACACTGGACTGGACCCTCCTGTACCAATTAATAATCCAGACATCCTCCGAAAGACATGCCTACAGGCCTATTTGATCTAGGCAATTTCTCAGTGAGGGCTTTCTTTTCAGGTGACCCAACTAGAAAATAAAAGCTAAGCAGGAACCCATTTCTGTAGTATAGTTTTTATAGAAAATTATAAAAATGATGCCTTTATATACAAAGAATCAAAGAAATGAAAAAAATGTGATTTTATGCAAACTCTGAAAAAGTGGGCAATCCTGGAGAAGCATGATTGGACAAAGTGGTGTGATCTGCAATTATAAACAGGATGAGCAGTGGCCCAGGAAGGCCTTCATTCAGATCCCATGTCCTCAGGCAGAAAGATAGTCCCGTCCTCTGGATGCAAGAAGGTCCCCCTGGCATGGGGATCTTAAGAAACATCAAGGTAGATCAAGGAGGCACAGCTGTGTTTTTTCACGCATTTCACTGGAGAAGAAGTGAGAGAATTTTTTTACTCCATGGCCTGTTTCTGCTGTTTTCTCTAATTCTGAGTACCATATTTTAGGATAGTATGTCCAGAAACTCATTACTGTGTTAGTTTTAGGAGAGTTTGTATGTGTTTGAACTGTGAATTTTTCCTTTTGCTTGCTTTGAAGCAAATGTGCAACTTTCAAATCGCCAGAGGTTCAGTTCTTTCATAAATATATTCTTTTGGTACTTCAAAAGGTAGTATATTTTAAATTGCAGAATGTGATTGTCTATTCAGACTGAAGAAACTAGCTTTCATGCCTTTGAAAAAAGGAACTTTTGTTTCTCTTGTATTTCCTCCCTCCCAAAACCAGGAAAATCATTATTTGGAGAGCTAACCTAGTATTTCCTAGCTGATGGCTCAGTAGTTACACATATGGTGCCAATATTTTGAAACTCTAGGCTTTAGTCAACATTCTAATAGCTGTATTGTTGTGCTGCTTTTGTTCCTGGAAAGGATTTCAATGGCTCCTATTTTGAGGCTCTATTCAAACCTTGAAACACATCTTTAAAATAGAAAGGGACAAAATTGGGGTTGTTTGGGTTTGTGAATGAGTAGAATCCATATTCTACAAGTACATTCTGCAGTATTGCAGTTTGTACTTTCGATTCCCTACCCCCAAGGATTTTGCCTCCTAATCCTTTTAACATTGCATGTGGTGTTTGCAGTTGAGTTGGAAAGGAAAGCCTACGAGAATAAGGAGGGGGAAAATGCTATTGGGTCTAAACAAATGGAGTGCTCGGGAGCTGGGGGAGTACTAACAGAGGAAGCCCATGGTGTTGGGGCGAAATCTCAGAGATTCTTCTGCTGTGAAAACTGATATCAGCTTTGCATTCTTGCTCCAAGGAATGGAAGGACAATCAGTATAGATCAAGAGGCAGATTAAATCTCGTGGTTTTTTTGGGGGGTGGGGTGGGGTTTGGTTGTTTGTTTTTAAGTAATGCTCTCTAGAAGCATTATCTGTCCAGAGGATTGTCAAGTGAAATTATCCAAACCAGACCACACCTCCTTTTGGCACTCATGTAAACAGTGAGCATATAAAACCAGCTCATTTCTAACAAAAGCAGTGTAATCTCCAGATTACAGCTGACCGAGGAAGGCCCTGGGTGTATGTCTCTTCGGGACACTGCTGGGGGGATAAAAGACCTTCCTCTTACTCCAACCCCAAAGCTGGTTTGTAGGAAACTGAGTCTCAGAAGTAAAGCATCAGTTTACTTTGTGAACTTCCCCATGATTCATGCCTCCTGCTTCCTGCCCTTCCCTTTACTTTCTACAACATCTACTTCATATAGCACATTACCAAGTATGTTCCTGGTAGGTTTTGTTGTAGGTGTTTGCTCTAATCGTGGTAGGTTTTATAGACAAGATCTAATTTCTCAAGTAGAAGGTGTTTCTCTGCCATTATTAAGTTTTCACTTCTGTTTCTTTCATTTTCCTAAAGTATAGGGATTTGATGGCTTTAATGTCTCTTCAGATGTATGGCTCATCCAATGTATGTTTGTTAGTCTTGGAAGTAAAATTATCTATTTTCATTAAAAATATTTAATCCACACACTACTTACATTTCTCTTTGTAAATGAAAGAAAAAATTGGAAGAGCACTCACTGACATATTGCTATATATAGACTTGTGAAAACTAGTCTCTCTGCAAGAATTTACATATTTAAAATGTTATTTTTGCAAGAATTTGCAAGTTCCATTCAGGATAAAAATTGTCATTTTTAATATCAAGCATGATATTTTTCATGAACACTAAGAAGTTCCAAAACTTTTATGCCAGGGGGACTTCACCATTTTTACAGGGAAATGTCCAAATCTTTTATAGTATATCTTATTAGTAAACAACAGCTATGAATCTTTAAAAACAGATATGAATCAATTAAATCAATAATAAAATGTAATTTAAAAGACATATGTTAAGTACCTTCTCCCTTTTTAGGTTTCAAAATATTAAATAAACCACCATAGCATCTAAAGATGATATTACACCATCATTTCTAAAATAAACACACAAAGAATTAATCCAAGACTACAGAATAAAGACTTTTTTCTCCATGTATTTATAGCAAGTTACTGTCAGTATGTAGTGCTTTGTGGTTGAATTGTGATTGGCCCAAACTCTTTCCCAGCCATTATCCCTTCTAAATTAAGTTTGAAATGGATGTTAGAAAATAAATTAATGTGAGTGGGTTAAGTGAGCTATGTGGTGAATATTGAAGTGAAAGTTTAAAGGGAAGGTTTGCCTTGAGGTGATTATTTTGGAGTCTTGTTTTGATTTTTGGAAATTCACTAGAGAAACATAACAGGCATCCAGAAAAGATAAGTTCTAAATGTGCAATGTTAGCATAGTGTCTCAACCAAATTCTTCTGTGTGAAGTTGATGGTTAATATTGCTGTTACTGACTTTTCATGTTTCTCTATTTAACGTTCTTTTATGAAGAGGCAACTCCAAGTACCATTACTATGGGATTCGTGTGAAGCCAGATTCTCCTCTTAATCGTCTACAAGAAGATATGCAGTATATGGCTATGAGACAACAACCCATGCAACAGAAGCAAAGGTACCTTCTGAGTTATTGTTATGTCAACGCTCCACACATCTCAACTCCATAGTCGTCTTATTTCTGAACAAACAGAACAAACAAATGCGCTGGACTGCTGCTACCATTGACATGCTTTCACTGTGGATAGTGTTTAAATGTCATTGAGAATTTCAGTGATCCTTTTTTAAAAATAGCTTATCCTTGAACTTGTTGGGCCCCTTTAAAGTTAAATGTGATGTCCCAAACTACTTTTCATACAGTAAATGACACAGGAAGAGTAAGGAGTACACATAGGCAAGTTGTATCTTTGGAGGAACTTAATTTTAGTGTTCATGAGACATACTATTCTTACATCCTTCAAATCATTTTTCAAGCTTTATTTATTGTACATTGCAAGTGTGAATGTGTATGTGAGAAAAAGATAGAGGATGTGTGTGTGTGTGTGTTTGTTGTGCGCGTGCAAGCATACCTGGGCATGCCTGTGTCTGATGTATTTGTGAGGGTTGGTGGGTGGAGGTCAGAGAATAAATTCAGGATTTGGTTCTCTTTTTCCACCATGGGTTCCATCCAGTGAGGTCATCAGCCATGCACAGCTTGCAGCTTTACTTTGTGAGCCGTCCTACACATTCCAACTAATTCTTTTGGCCAAGTCTGAGTTCTTGTAGGATCTTTGGGACTTCTTACATTTTTAGCCTAATCTTTATGAACATAGAATTGTAGACATTAGAACTTTAACAGATCATGCATTCATGGATGGATCAATGGATGCATGGGTAGATGCATGGGTAGATGCATGGGTAGATGCATGGGTAGATGCATGGGTGGATGAGAGTGGATGGTTGGATACAGACAGGATTATATTTCTTGGAATTTTACAAAAAAGCAACTTTGTCTGATCTGTGCTCATAATCCTTGACAATGAAAGCATGAGCAGCCTTGTTTTCAAATGTCTCACAAAGGCCAAATGGAATATATATACCGCTACACTGTTGTTAAGCCTTCCAGGCACTTATGACTGTTACAATTTACAGAAAATAAATATTTTGAGAACTCTGTTTTTACCAATGTAGCTTACCTATGCTCTGTAATTATAACTGTTCTTTTCAACTGAGGTGGTAGAAGTAACTAAGAAAAAGGTATGATTTCACTAGGTTCTTCTTCAATCGAGTAATTATTTGTATAGGCAAGATTTCATCCAAGCTAGTGTAGTACACAGCATGACTTCTAAGTCATAGAAAGACAATGTTACATAATAGATTTTCTTCTGGTCAGCAAATATTCATTGAAGTTCTACTGTGTTCTGGGCTCTAAATTCAAAGATAAGACAGTCTCTGCCTTTAAAAAGACAAAGTATGTGAGGAATGAGAGGGTAAAGTAATGCACAGCTTTAGTCAAAGAACTGTAGAATACAGAGTAATTGAGCAAACTCTGGGAGAGGGAGGACTAGAAAACCTCATATAAAAGGTGTTATTTGAGTAGGGACTAAGAGTGAGAAAGACAAGGACTACCTAGGCAGAAGGGAAGTGTTCACATAAGCACACAAGGTGAAGGATAATGTTGTGGGTAGTGGCCCATGATCTGCTGAAGTTGTTACTGCAGAAGGAAAGTAGAAAAGATGCTAAGTTGTCTACTGAGAGATGCAATTTATATAGTAGTTTGAGCCACATATTAAAAGATTTGGTTTTGCATGAAAGCAATAATTTGCTTTTATGTCTGTATAACACATAACTACTTAAAGCTTTGAAGCAAAACAGTGAAATTCTCTTTTTTTCGAGAGAGATAACTTTTTGATTTGGGACAAGACATAGTTAATGGGAAGAGACAGCGGTATGGACATGAACTCTTGCTGTGTAGTTTCAGTGTGTCCCAGCCTGGAGATACAATTCAAGGCTGGCCATCATATGAAGATTTTTAACCCACAGATTCTCAGTTTTGTTTTTAATTGCTAGGTTTTTTTTTTGTCTGTAGGTAGGAAAATGAATTTAAAAGGACTGAAAAATGACAAAAAAAAAACATAGGTTAGTACCATACATGGTAGCAATAGTTTGTTATAATAAACTATTATGATCTTAAATTTTTTATTATCTTTCTACTTATTAAGAATATAATTTATAGAATTTACTTTCTGATATGATTTCCACCCCAAAGTTTAGCAGCAATGCAGAATGGGATAATGGATGAAATCAAGAAATAACGTTATTTAAGCATTAATACTAACAAAAGCTTGATAAATTGTACCTAAGTGAAGCCAGTTTCATCCTGTGATTTACCTGTGAGGAAATCTAGTAAGCTTGCATAAAAACGATATTTATAAAAAGCTTGAGGGCTGGAGAGATGGCTTAGTGGTTAAGAGCATTGCCTGCTCTTCCAAAGGTCCTGAGTTCAATTCCCAACAACCACAAGGTGGCTCACAATCATCTGTAATGAGGTTTGGTGCCCTCTTATGGCCTGGAGACAGGATATTGTATACATAATAAATAAATGTCTTAAAAAATTTAAAAAGCTTGAATTAGGTAAGTAAATACTATTTCTGTTTTTTTTTCCTTTTCTTTTCTTTTTTTATTTTCTTCTATTAAGTAGACCCAAGAACTGTAAAGGCTAAGGAGCCATGAAACCCTTTGATACATATCTCCAGGTGGTAATAATTGCTAAAAGAAAAAGATAAAATGTAAACATGTTTATGGAGATATAGAATACTTATTATGTGAATAAGATCTGCCAATACCAGTGTCTTTTAGGGTCTGTTTTCTTAGGAATGAAGAGCGTTTTATTACCAAAGAAGTACTGGATTTTCTTTTCTTCTGATAGTACTTTTTTTTGAAGCTGGGTCCACCATCTAGTCTCAGCTGACCTGGAACTTACCATGCAGCCCACTGGCTTCCGATTCACAGTGTCTGCATCTGTAGTTCCATATCTTACATGGTTTAAATACATGTTTCACATATTTTTTGTAATTAAAAGTCAAGTATATTTGTTGATTATTTTGATAATTTAAGTTTGGGTGTTTGATTTTATATATCTAGTTTGAAAACTAGATTGGGCAATAGAGACAGTTTCCACCTCTATGTAAATCAGATGCCTTTCCAAGCTACCATGGAGCATAGCCATGCATCAAGTGATAAATGAAAAGAGTTCTGGTTGAGGAGCAGATAGACAGATATCTTTTCCCATATTTAAAAGATGAATCCATCTTCAAATCATTTATCTAAAGTAAAAGATCATATTAGAGGCTGCTTGATTCAAATCAACTGTGGGGTATAACTACTGACATAAAAATTATAATAGTCAGGGTCTTGCCTTCCCTTGAGGCTTATTCAGTACCGTGGTCTGTGGACAGTGAAAGGACAAATGAATTAAGGCACTCCCATCTGCCCTTTTTGCTGTCACTCTAATGATCAGAGTTAGCATAACAAAATACGATAGCTGCCTTGTGAAAATATTGTCAACTGTGGCTAATCAAAAGGAGAAAAGTGAGTAATGTATAAAATATCTACTATTGAAAATAAACTTTACAGTTAAATGAGGTAATCTCCAGATTTTAAGGATATTTACTCATGTATTAATTGCTTGACTAATTTAGACAACACATAGGTCGTCAAGCACCAAAATAAAGAGATCAGTAATTTCCAGGTCTATAAATTATGCAAAAGTGTTTGTTGCATTTACATTTAACACTTAAAGGAAATACATAAGAAGTCTTGACATGTGTATTTTAACTGTTCTTCTAGATTCTTGTTTCAGAACTGGTGGAAAGGAGCCATATGCTCTTGACAGTGTACCTGATCATATCTGGTGCCAATAGCCACTCTCAAAATATTAAAATACATTCATAGTTTCTCAACAATTTCATACAATTGTCAGTTGCTTACAAAATAAACACATCACATGTGAAAAAGAACATAGGATGTCAGAGAGGTAGGAAGAGGAGATCATTTGGTTTCTAAGGAAATGTCTGTATGGGATAGGTAAGTCATCATATAGCAGCCTAGAAAAGAACTGACCCTCTCATCTCCATTCTTGTATGGAATCTATCCTTGAAGACACAAGTAACTCAAAAGAAAATATGCATTTACAAGAAAAAGCAAATAGCCAATTATGGTGGTTTATGCCCTTCTCTGCTTCCCTTCTTCTCCACGTGTCTCTTTGAATTTCCCTCTCCCTTTCACGTGGGAGACTAAGGCAAAAGAATTGCTCCAAGCTCAAACAAACCTCAGCTACATAGTGAGACCTCTGCCAAGAATGCACATGAAATCCAGGGCAAAATCACAATGTTGTGAGTGTATTTTAACTAAGGGGGAGATATGTCACTACCCATTTGGATGGTCCCTTGCTAGGAAGAGGAATAAGCCTTTTTTGTTACTGGGAGGAGATGAGAGAGGTCTGGTAGGAACGGGTGGCAAGACTCCTTTACTTCAGATGTGAAGGAGGACATCCAAAGGTGTTTGTCATTGAACTATTCTTAATGCCAGGAGCTTAGGACAGGTGAAACAAAGGCACTCTATTTAAAGTAGTACTTCTATTTTGTATGACTTTGAGCCTCAGTTTCTTTTAAAATGGAAATGAACTTCAGAGATTATTTTATAGTTCAAGCAGAAAAAAATAAAATATTTTATAGCTGGACACATTCAAGTGTTATTCTTTTTCATAATAGCATGCTGTTATAAGCACTACAGAAAACTCTAATAACAGTTCTTTGCAAATTTGGAAGAGTAGGCACCTTCAAAATGTAATGTGTTTGCCTTGCTTATACTTCAAATATATTAGTTCCCAGCTTTGGTCAGTGTTAATAGTTCATCGTACTTTTTTTGAACCATTAATTTTCTTGGATTATGGCAAAGCTACGCTTGGAGGACTGGGTCATTTCTCTGAGGAGGGTAAGAGTGAGAGAATTCTTTAGTGAGCAGATACTCTGTTCTGTTAACTGTGCACTTCACTCTGGAACATCAGTAAGGAACCACGACACTGCTTGCTGAAGTAGTTATTAGTTTGCCAGCGTTCTAGTTCATGACGTCATGATC